CAGCACAGTTCAAAAAGTCCTATGTTTCTGTATGGGTTCTTATAGGTTTCTGTAAAGGTTTCTATAACAAACAATAAAAAACCACCCCTTTTTGGGCTTTCTTCTGAACTAAGAATATCTGAACAAACAACCTTTGTAATAAAAAACAAAAGTTACTGGGCTTTCTCTGAAGCGTAAGATATGAAAAATGACAAGCCCCAAGGGAATGGGATGAACACAAAGCAAGGGCAAAAAATGCATTCCGAGGGGCACCCTTACTTCTCTTAATTCATTTGCTTAGTAATGTTGTGACACCATTCAGAGTATACTTCTCTAGTACCTATAGCAACCTCTACTCCATAGCTATTTGCTGTCTTTCAATAAGTGATTTTTAACATGTTCACTGAATTAAGGTGAAAAGTTCATACCTGACAGATTCACTACTCTGTCTTATAATTACTTAGCATTCATGCAACAGAGGATTTCTAATTCATGTCCAATGATTTGTAAATAACGCTAAAATGCAGCCAAAAGGAAGATTATGATGGAAATAAGCCATGCACTACAAAGCCTTAGCTTAAGTTGAGGAATACAAATGAAAAATACAAATGAAAAATAACAATAATTATTAGAAGAGGGTCTTACTCTGGGAAATATTCAGCTTTGGGTCTTGGTGCTGGCCTGCCTTGTGCCACCCATTTATGGGGAAAATAAGCTTTGCCTGAAAAGCACTCTAAAGTTTAGGGTAAGTTCTCATATGTTCAATGAAATACAAAATGCTTCCAGCAGTTTTGACTGACTATAAATTTCTTAAATCCTTCAGTAAAATATTTATTTCCCTTTAATTTCTTTATCTTAAATATATTACACTAATATTTGCTATACAATATGACTTCCACTATTTCTTTGGGATGATGGTTTGCAAATTACATATATGAAATTCAAATAGTCATTCATAAACCAATTCATTATTTTGTTGAAGTCTTGGTAATTATCTTTGCAATTTAACAATATGGGAAGGATACAGGAACATTTAGGAATATTGTGTGGCTGTTTCTATACTTGGAATCAGGCTGACGTAATCATCTCGTCTTAAAAATATTGGGTAACAGAAGTGACAGGAGTATTGGGTAGCATGGGTGACAGGAGTGATTTGCCACTGCATAAAGCTCTTAGAGGAAAGTTAGACTCAGTGGTCATTTAGAAAGGAGCTCTTGCATTTTTTCCATAAGTAAACAAGTGTGGAATGTATCATCCATGAGCCTTGACTGGAAGAACGCCAGCTCCAAAGAGGACAATATTTTCAATTTCAAGATCCTACTCCTGCCAGCCATGACCAGTGAAATAGTGTACTGCATAAAATTGAATAAAAAACATAAAAAAATCACACAAATAATATATATGTTATTGTTATTATCATTGTACAGAGTTGTAGATTGGACAGTTATAATAAAAAGTCTGTGCAAGAAAAAGAGTATATTGCCATCTTGATACAGCATATCAAATACCAAAAATTGACCATAGAAAAGGGCAAAAAAAAAGCATTTTTAGGAAAAAAAGGAGATAATAATATTACAAAGGAGAGATAAGGAATCTTGACACTGCACATGAGTGTTTATGTGAGCCAGGCCTACAAGTCACAGACGAGGGAGAGTTAGCACTCAAGTATGCCTATTGCCCAAATTTTCGGCAAGCGTGGTCAGCAAGGCACCTGGATCCAATGGGTTACCAAGAGCAACGCACCTATTTATGCACACAATAACATTAATAAATATAAATATAGCAAGATAACTAAAAGTTTGCATCCCAATTTTTTGGCCAAACATAAAATAAATTATAGGGCAAAGCTTTTCTTTAGTATTCTGCTATATTTTGGAGATTGTTTTTGTACTTTATATCTCCACACTGTTTATGGAATTAGATCTAATATTTTATGTTATTGGCTCAATTTTCTGTGCACTAATTCAAGGACTACAGTTGAAGCACTTGCAAACTACAACTAAGGTTATGCTGCAAGTTGTTTGCTAAAAGGTCTGGGAGTTCTATTTGACAAAACCTTAAAATATCTTCATCGATTAGACAGAAGAAATGTAATGCCTAAGCAACGAATGATAAACCGGCATTTGCAGAAGGAGCAACTGTATGCAGTATGTGATTATCAGTTGTCAGATTTTTTGTTTCTTATCATTAACCCACTCGGTAGGGAGATAATCAGACCACACTGACCACAATGCCATACTTAATCTCAAGGGTGTCTGCCTGCAAAGTTGAGTGTGGGGTAATGTTTTTTCCCTCTTATCTCTGGTTCTAGACAAGCTTATTATCCATTCTCAATAGAAGCATCAATGAATGAGGGTTCAGACTGACTCTGAAAGGCTATTAGCTAGTGCTGTTGGAACCATGCCTATGTAAAGGGCAAAACAGAGACAGTCTCCATTATCCTGTCATATATGGCATATGTTATCATTGGGTTGAAATACTTTGGAGCTTTTAGCCTTCAACAACTTTACCTCTTTTTGTG